TTCCAAAAGAGAGGAACTAAGAATAGTTTCTTTTGATTTGTAGCAAAAAAAGAAAAATCAAAGCCGAAAGGACAGGATTCTGCATCATCTGCAATGAGAGTTCCGAAAGAGAGGAACTAAGAATAGTTTCTTTCGATTTGTAGCAAAAAAAAAAGTTCAAAGCCGAAAGGACAGAATTCTGCCTCATCTGCAATTAGAGTTCCAAAAGAGAGGAACTAAGAATAGTTTCTTTCGATTTGTAGCAAAAAAAAATGTTCAAAGCTGAAAGGACAGAGTTTTGCATCATCTGCAATGAGAGTTCCAAAAGAGAGGAACTAAGAATAGTTTCCTTCACGTGATCGCAAGTTTTCAACAAGCTATGCCAAAAGAAAGAACCATAACTTGCATAATTAGCAAGCTCAATATAAAGCTTGTGCCGATCTTCCAGCCCCCGGGCCCTCTGATAAGGTAAGATTTCAAAACGACCAAAAAAGGACAAACTGCTTCACGCCTTTTATTCAGATATAAAAAAGCTTCAGCCAGACTATTGGCATAAGTGCCTTCTTGGACCCGAAAGATTAGTGGGTGTAGGCTTTTGCGGTCTAAGAGATTAAATGCACAACGAAGATAAAAGTCTTCGCATGGCTCCTGGCTGCTGATAGAGTTAATACCAAAAGCATGCTGAAAAGGCAGCACTGGAATTTTGCCGATGGAGTCAATTGTGTCCTGTGTGGATAAGGAACTCCTTGGCGAACTTGCACGTTGAGGATGGATGATTTGTAGTGGTTGAAAGTAATGGAAAGATGTCAATAGGAGCCTCTCCTACTGTCTTTGAATGCTCAAAAGATTAAAAAGAATTGGTAACCATATCAACAAATAAAGCTACTAGACAAACTGATCGAGAGCTCGACTTCCCTGGAGACACGAGACATTGAGGCCAGCTGGCTTATAGGTTCTAGATCAAGTTTGTTGCTTTGCTTTAAACATCCAATCTTCACTGGTACTTGTAGTAATTTCCTTCGAGCTTGCTGTAAGAACAACAGGTGGCGAAGAGAAGTAAAAAGGAACTAATAAATTGGGAAAAATTAATTGAGATTGGCCCTCTAAACCCAAAGAGAATTTCTAATTTTATGTAGCATAGGTACTCCCTCCATCGAAAAACATAGGTCCTAATACGTTTTCAGGCCATTTTACAGTTATTTCCCCTTGTTAATTGAAAAGGCAGAGCTCCCTGCTGTTTACGGTCCCAAAAACCCCGTTTTTCAAGGTCCTGCCTATCGGTTAGAACAATAATATATGACATGCATGTTACAAAAAGTATATATATAGTCAAATTTGTATGTGAAAGGAGTTTCTGTTGATACAATTTTTATATCAGATACATCTCGTATATTATTAATCTTATCAGTGGTCAAAGGCAGCCTTGAAAAACATGGTAGGCCCCATATGGAGATATATTTGGATGGAGGGGATACATGTTATCTAGTTGATGAAATGATCGTGTCATGTGGCCAATATATATACCAACCCTTTCAATTTCTATTAAACATATCCTGGTGTTCACATGCTATAGCAAGAACCAACCCTTTCAATTTCTATTAAACATATCTACGATTCTGTCTTCATTAATAGACGTCCCTATATATATATATGTGTGTATGCAATCTGTGATGGCAAGAACCCATGCACTCCACGCAGTTATCCAACTATGATCTTCCTCGCCAGTAGCTCATCCTGTGATGCAAAACTACACCCATTTGTATACAATCTCACCTCCTCTTACGCAGACCAAAGAAATGAGGTCACCATGGTGTTCACCTCGGCTGTCATGTTCATGCTTGCCGCCCTCTTCTTTACCCTCAATCTCTTCAGCCGCTTGTCCGTCCTGAGCGCCATCCTCAACCCCAGCGTTCGTCTGTTCCTCTCCACCTCACTGTCACTCTTCCTGCCCGTCATGTCCTACCTCTTCTCCGAGGCCAAGAACGCAGGTGCCGCTTTGGCTGCTATAAGTCCCAATAGCTCCAGCTACAGCCAGCTCGGCACCGAGCTGTCACTACAGGCTCGGACGATCCTCATGTGGATGCTTCTCGTGGAGCTCCTCCGCAAAAAAGTGGAGGCCATCCTGGTCAACGCGGGCATGCAATGGCAATCCGGTACCATCGATCGCGCTTCCCGCATCGCTTGGTTGGGCTACCTCGTTTTCTACAACCTCAACAGCACCGGCAAGAAAGCAATCTATGGCACCTTATGGATCGTCGCTGCTGCCAAGTTTCTGCAGAGAGTCTCCATCAACGAGCTGCTCAAGCGTTCTTTCGCCTATGGCAAGAACGCTGAGCTGCTCAGCTCGTACATGGCCCAGATGCTACAGGAGAAAGATCAGCAGGCCGGCAACGGCAATGTTCAGGATGAGGGAGCAGAGTTGTTGAAGAAGTGCAAGTACGCCGTGATGGGAGAAGAGGAGTTGGAGATGAAGCCTGGCCCGGAGGGCTACCTTCTCGAGCTGAAGAAGCCCAGTACCGTTGACACGGACGCCAACACCGACTCCACCATCATCACCATTGGTGATATTTGGAGGCTCGCGGAGAAGGACAAGGGCGGAATCCTCCAAGAAGACCCAAGTCTTAAAAGGCTATGCCTCTCGTTCGCCCTCTACAAGCTGCTCCGGAGGAGGTTCGAGGACCTCCCCATCACCCAAGAGGAAACCTCCAATTGCCACGGTCTCATCTTTAGAGGCCTGTGCAAGGAGCTGCTGCAAGGCGCTGAGCTTGAACTGTCAACCCAAAGGTTCGACGAAGTGCGGAAGGAGGATCTGAAAGCCATGTGGGTTGCAGTTGCAGTATTCGAAGTGTTCGACCAGGAGATCCAATTCCTCAGCGAATACTACCACTCAGTTCTACCTGTGGTGCTCTCCAGCCCTTTCTTCTTCCTTGCAAACTACATCCTGTTTCCCGTCGTGGTATGGGCCTTCTGCCTCCTGACGTTCATCCTCTGCGGCAACGGGGACGTGCGCTACGCGTACCATAGCATCATCACTGACAACTACATCATATCAATCGGCATGATGAAAATAGCCGGATGCCTCCTAACAAGAATAATCCATTCACCGGAGGCGCTCTTCACAACCGTCGATCTGGCCATCACTATGCTGCTCTTGCTCACCTTCCTCTACGAGGAAGTATGGGAGTTCCTCGTCTTCATCCTCTCCAACTGGCTCATGGTGTCACTTGTCTGTGAGTATACCGCCAAGAGCCGCTGGCGTGACAGCCGCATCTTAAGCAGCCTCATCCGCCGTATCCTATGGGTACAGAGTAAGATAAGCCGTCGCAACCTTTGCTTTAACCAATTCTCCATGTTTGGGTTCGGCGGCCTATCACCCATGATGCTGCGTAAGAAGGCAGTGCCCATGGAAGTGAAGAAGTCCATCATGAAATACCTTGTGGCTCAAATCAATGATGGCCACGCCCATGCTGCACCTCTCAGCAACGGCTGGTCCACGCTGCAGTCGGAGAAGCACAGAGAAAGCCAGTATAGATCACAGCTCTCATTGGCATGCGAGAGCAAGAGCGTCGCCGAGGTTATCCTCATCTGGCACATTGCTACCAGCCTTTTGGATAAGAAGTGCACACTGCAGAACAAGACCTCGATGGGAGCTCATCACAAGGTGGCAGTCACGCTATCCGGGTACTGCGCTCACTTGGTGGCCTCGTATCCGGAGCTGCTTCCAGACAATAAGGACGGGACGATCCACGTGTACAAGGAGATGAAAGAGCAGTTGAAGAATGAGCTGGGAGGGTGTTGGAGGTACCACCTGTCCTTGCCAGGCACCAGGTACAACAGGCTGGTTGAGATCTCAAAAGGGCAGGAGGAGACGACGTTGGTGCAGAGGGGAGCAAAGATGGGGGATTTGCTTCTAGAGATGGCACAGAAGAAGGAGGGTGTGTGGGAGCTACTGGCTGACCTTTGGACGGAGCTCATGGTGTATGTGGCTCCATCTGGTGGAGAGCTGCACGTGAAGGCACACAAGGAGGCGCTGGCACAAGGGGGCGAGTTCATCACCGTGCTCTGGGCGCTGTGCACGCATACCGGTATAACCAGGCCCGCCATTGCACCTTGGGAGGCACAGCGCCATCATGCGCTTGAACCATAGAGCTTTGCTGTCCGTTCCCCGCACACCCCTTTTCAAGCGGCCGGGGCAGTTATCCTGTGTTGCGTTTGTTGTGCTTCATGCCGTCATGAGCATGCGTGATCGAGCTTGCTTGTTTCCATTACATTGTTTTCTTGTGAATAATCATTCTGCGTGGTGTGCTGTTTGGATTTGCTGCTGCCTTTCCATCAGCATGCATTTTGGTGGTGGCTTCTTTTCAGATTTAGAAGCACGGTTGAATGTAAGTGGCATGCTTTGGTTGTACAGTCAGCAATTGGATCTTCCGTAATTTTCTTGGTGTTTCAGTCTCTTTGATTGGAAAAGTCTAGCCTACATGCAAGGCAACACCAAACAGAAGTGCAGTCTTGTACTATAGACATATATGAAATAATATGTATCCAAAGAAAAGCAGATACAGCATGCACGCAAATCTTGTGCTTTATTCGATATCTCTCAGGTGACCCAAGCCACATTTTTTTCTTTCTAATTTCTTATGGGAATATATGATGCTTTTCACAGTATATAGCTACACGTTTTCTAACAGGGTATTGAGTACTCCATTAATACTTGGAAGCAATTTCACATACAGTAACAGGAGCTCGACCAAGGAAATGAGAACCATACCTGATGTATCCCTGGATTGGAACAAAAATGAACCTCTGCATAACCTGAAACGATGATAAAATCTACAAGAATTCAACTCACAGAAATAGACACTTACAAGCCGTTAGCAAGCAGCTGTGATGGCTCATAAGATTAGCCGAATCTCGAAGAACAGCTACATTATGAGAAGTACAATGCCATTTTTAACTGGATATCCCAAATTGAACCACATTTGGACAGCTCTAAAAATTGGCTCATCTGGTCAGTTTGGCTCTCAAGTGTAGTTCAATACACAATGTACAGTTCAAAATATTGCTCAAACTATCAAAATTTCAAATGCATCGTCCAAAATGGAATTTACTTTTTCTTCAAATGGAAGCAGAGAAATTTGACAAATAAACAAATGGTCCACAGCTAACTGAATATAAAAATAATAATAAATCACGCAATCACTTTACACTGTTCACATGTGTCTGTTGGCCGGAAATAACCGTTGCAATCGCAGCTTGCTTCCTCTGTAGCAAAATACCATTGCCTCCTTCAGGCTCCTCTCCACTCAGCTGCCTACAAAAGAGAGTTTGAACACAACTAAAACCATAAGTTTCGAACATTTGGAATATCAGTTCGTGGATCCACGGGACAGAAATCTCTCAAATCACGTGAGGCCAAACTCCTCAAATCCACATCCAGACCATGCAAACATACCACTATCTCAATATCCCCAAAGCTATTCACAAAGGTACTCCCACTCCCCAAGGCCCAATTCATGAATTTGCCACTGACGTAACACAGCTATTCATGTCCGACCGAATGCATCGACAACTCAAGGCAGATTTGATAGAAAATGTCTTGCAACAATTCAAGGGTGACCAAGATTAGTATTTCCCATTTAAAGATTTTTATAATACTCAGTTTGTCATCAAATTTATTGTATTTCTCTTTGAATTAAACCTGCTTTGTAATGCCTACTGTACTAATATGCAGGCAATATTATTTCTTATGAACGAGTTTACAAATACTCATTTGTGAACTTATTCTTTAAGTGCATCCGAACGATCAATGAATATTTTTCGATAGCTAGCCATGAGAGCGGATCAACAGTTGTGCAACAAGACTCGCACGGATTCATCGTCCAGCAGTACTGAATCATGAACCCAATAGATATAAGAATAAGAACATAAAGGCCCAAGCCAACAGGTTTATTGTGCCACACCCAGGGTCACAGAAGAAAATACTTGGAAAGAAACATAATACTCCCTCTGATTCATAAAGTTGTACTAAATCAGGGATAATTAACATGGATCAGATGGAGTAATAATAATAATAACTGTAAAATAGCTCACGCAGCCGCTGAGATCAGTTCGGCTCAGTGAATCTATCAAGCCTACAGAATTCAGCTTAGGACAGAGATCCTTACATGCAGTGATTGCATCAGCTATTAAAAAGAGACCATTACTCACATCAGCGGCCAGATCGGGAGACTCTGGCTCTGGCTCGTCGGCTAAGCCTTGTAGTTGTACTGCCTCCTGCGCGTCTCACTCGTCAGCTCCGGAGTCCGGACCAGGTCGCTGCCCCGCCGCCCCTAGCGAGGTGGCGGCAGAGATCGAGGGCCGCCGCGCCCAATGGCCAGCGCAGAGACACTGAGTCCAAAGCCCAGTGCGAGGGCAACGACGCCGAGCGGCGTCGAGGCCGCCGCCATCTTCGTCGCCGTTCTTCGCTGATGATTTTGACGGAGGGAGCGGCGCCGTAGGAAGGTGAACAGAACTGGAGCGATTGGGGTTTGGGGATTCCGTGGATCGAACCTTTTTTTTTAGTAGCTCTGGATCGAGCTGAGACTTCCTCCTATCCCACGCCTACGAACAAGGCCCATGTAAATGGTTGGGCGAAAAAATCTTCTTCTTTTTCTTTCGATGGGAGCGAAATATCTTTTTGGGAATGTTTTGCTTCAAAGATTTTAGAAAGTGTTAAATTCAGTTAGGAAAAAAATGAAAAGATATAATGATAAATGAAAAAAAAATATGTTCATCACAAATTTGAAGGGCGACGCAACGCGTCCACCGGCGGATAATAGAAAAAGATCAACCGCCTCCTGACCATTGGATGGAGATGCAGATGGGTCCGATTTACCCACTAACCATCTTTGCAACAAATGTGTTGTTTCAGCCCGTCCTCTGAAATAGCCTGCTTGTTGCAATCACCCAAACAGTATTTTTTTTTTGCAACAAAGGTCATGTTGCGATTTCCTTTTGCAATCGTGGTCTTGTTGCAACTTTTTTTACATAAATTATTCGTAACAAATGTCTTGTTGCGGATTTTTTTTCGCAATAACCTTTCTGAAAGGATCGATATAGTTGACTAGGGGTGTGAATAGGCAACTAACAATTTTTAACTTTTCTTTACCAAATTAAACTTTGCATCGAAGTAGGTTGTGTAAATATGCAACTAGGTGAGCAACCTATATGATGCAACAGCAATAAGTCCACAAGCAAGTAAGGGATACAACACAAATAAGCTTGTACAAGTAAAGGCACGAGATAACCAAGAGTGGAGCCGATGGAGACGAGGATGTGTTACCGAAGTTCCTTCCTTTTGAGGGGAAGTACGTCTCCGTTAGAGCGGTGTGGAGGCACAATGCTCCCCAAGAAACCACTAGGGCCACCGTATTCTCCTCATGCTCTCACGCAATGCGAGATGCCCTTGAAGGCGACGACCGAACCTTTACAAACAAGGTTGGGGCTATCTCCACAACTTAATTGGAGGCTCCCAACGACACCAAGAAGCTTCACCACAATGGACTATGGCTCCGCGGTGACCTCAACCATCTAGGATGCTCAAACACCCAAGAGTAATAAGATCCGCTAGGGATTAGTGGGGCGAATCAAATTTCTCTTGGTGGAAGTGTAGATCGGGGCCTTCTCAACCTATCCCGAGCAAATCAACAAGTTTGATTGGCTAGGGAGAGAGATCGGGAAAAAATGGAGCTTGGAGCAACAATGGAGCTTTTGGGGGAAGAGGTGAGAATAACTTTGGGGAAGAAGACCACCTTATATAGTGGGGGGAACAATCCAACTGTTACCCCCCCAAGCAGCCCTGCAGAGAGTGGTACTACCACTGGGGTGGGCGGTACTACCGCTGAGGCCAGCGGTACTACCGTCCCACCTACCGGTACTGCCGCGCAAAGAAGGGGAGCGAGGTCCTGGACCTAGAGCGGTACTACCGCGGTGGTAAGGGCGGCACTACCGCTTAGGAGCGGTACTACCGCCTCTACTGCCACAACTAGTGCCGCAAAACCCGACACGAGAAAAAGGGCCCTCGAGTCGAGGCGGTAGGAGCACAGAGCCGCAGCGTTACTATGGCGGAGGGCTCCAAGCGGTACTACCGCTGAGGAGCGGTACTACCGCTGGGACCAAACTAAGCACAAAAGGAATGGAATGAGCCCTCCATTGAAGCGGAAAGGCTCAGAGGGTGTGACAAGTATGTGTACATGTTGATTCCACCCTAGCCTTACCAAAGCAGACCCCCTCTTGATAGTACGGTGACTCCTACGAAATTAGTCCACCAACATGGAAACGAAAGAGCTGCACCGTCTAGAATGACACTCCGAGGGGAGGGAATCGTCTCGTGCCAAAGGATGAATCTCTGAAAAACTCAACACACACGATTAGTCCGCAAAAGCATTGTCATCAGAACACCTTAGGGATAAATATGCCCTTACAATCTCCCCCTTTTTAGTGGATTGATGACAATGCGGGATTTGCACAAACGGGAAAAGACATAGGACATAAGCAAACCCCACAATTCTAAAACATAGACGGGCTCCCCCTAGATGTGTGCTTTCTAGATAAGTGCTTTGGACTGCACAGCGCACATACTAGGATCAACACTCCCCCTATATTTTAGAGACCAACAACCTAAGCATGATATATGAGAGCAGGGTATATAACAGGATAAGCATGCAACTCATAAGATACCAAAGTACTAGATAGACATAGATAATGAAAATATAAAGATAAGGTAGCATATGTCTCACACCATATGTCGGGAACTTAGGTCTCACTGGCACAAAACCAAACAAAGCAAATGGCGAGAAAACACAACGACACCACAAAGAGACACTCGCAACTGAGACACTCGCAACTCAACAACACAAATCCCTAAACTCTCTCCCCCTTTGGCATCGAGACACCAAAAAGGCAAAGAGTGCTGCTACAGCTCTAGGTGATAGCAAGCTGAGGATCTCGAACATCATATCCCAGCTGGATCGTCTGCACCGCCGTTATCGGTCGGAAACTGCTCGACGTCTGAATCTGTCCACGGGCAGTGCTGCTGAATCCACTCCTCCTCCTCAGTTATCTGGCCCTCAGATCCACTGTTAACGATCGCACCCAACTGACGCATGA